AGCCCAATGCTATCACAGAGGGATAGAAAGAGTCCTTAAACCGACGTAAGCTCCAGCTGGAACTTACAAGACGCATCTTCCAGCATTGAACATAGTGGAAAGAGAGAGAAGGAAAGGCAAGTATTACATACTGCAGGGGATAGCTTTATGCTTTGCCCAGCATAGAGAAAGTTCACTTTACAACACAAACTGTCACATAAAACACTCGGTGACCTAGCAAACTGGCCAAATGTGGCAAGTGCCGACTTATGTCTATGGCAAGCATTGACAGTAAAACCATTATAAAAAATGGCTGGCAAAAAACTTTCCTGTACAAAATGCCAGATTCGTAGTTGGTATGCCGACTTCAATACTTGAGTCACTCACCTAGGACAAGTCCGAGTATCAGGATGATGAGTCAAGTTGGCCTTCAATGTATGCGACAAAGACAAAATCCGGGGAAATAAAATCTCAAACCTTGCAGTGGGGCTATCCCAGGACTACAAAGGTGAAGTGCTTGTTACCCTAGAGAGCTAAAATAACAGATATACTCACCCGAACCGCAATCCTGGCTGGCTGCTAGACCGGCCCCTTCAGCCTGTCTCCTTCTCCACTCCAGCGATGGAAAGCTCTTGGCATCCTCACGTCCTATACACTGCATTGGAGGTGATGACTACTTGGACCTTAGACCTCTGGAACCAAGGAGGAGCGAGGCTGAATGGACCGGTCTAGGAGCCAGCCGGGATTGTAATTTGGCTATGTGTCTCTATTAGGGTATAGCTCCCTATGCAAAACAAGCACCTAACTAATGTAGTACGGGGGCTGTAGAGCTCTTCTTTAATGCAGGGCTGGACAAATCTTAGAAGAAGTCAATCCCCCTTAAAAAAACAATTTGCCATTTCTGGCCATTCTAAATTAGACTGAAGTCTATGGAGCGAACACACACAAACAGTGTTGGCAAAGATCTCCATAGCAACAAACATGACGCTTGGTAGAGCCAAGCAGTCACATCTGTGCAGCCGAGCCCAAGGGCGGACAAATCACACATGCACGTCCAACCACCATTCTCAGAGGCCTATAGGCACCCTTAAGCAGAGCACAACAAGGCATGGGAAATCTAACAGCCATCTGCAGCCAAGGACCAACGCGACCAAGCAGCATTTATCACCAGCTTGGCTGACATTTAGATACAGCACACACATGGAGGAAAGGAGTGATCACAGCTCAATCACAGAAGATTGCAAGCATGCTGAACATTTATTCAGGTGAGGACTCATACAAGCAACTCATGCAGTCACTGACCGTCACAAGGTTTGCCAATCTCTGGCCATAAAAGGCTATCCTTACATACAAACAGGATATAACGGATCCCAGAACAGAAAAGGCTCCGGTGTATTCATATTTTAAGGCCTTGTTCACACTGAAAGCGCGTGCATTCCAGAGCGGTAGCTGCTGTGAAACGCCCCCCATTTTTTGCATTTGCAGTGGAATGCAACGCTGGCAAAGTTTTGCCACGCGTTCGATCGCACTGCGGACGGGGGGGAGAGGGGGCGTGGAAGCGGTGCCATTGAATACAATGCATCGCCACGCCCCCTCCCACGGGGGGAAGTTTCACAGCGATCGCGTTGTGTTCCAGCAGCTACCGCTCTGGAACGCACGCGCTTTCAGTGTGAACAAGCCCTAAGTGACATCATCAACCTAGCTTTTGGGATGTGTGAAGTACTGACAGGCATAACAAGGAGCAAAATCCATTCCCTGTATACAAACAAAATGTATTATGCTTTATGTAGTTTCCCCCCCCAAAAATGCAGTGTAAATCATTGGCCAGAAAAGATGAAGTAGAACTCTAGTGACAACAATCACTTTTCGGGTGTTGGGCAACATGTGCCACCAAAGAAGGCTCAACAGTTCTATAGAAACACTAGTTTTCATGCGCACACTGGCTGCCAGGTATTGTCCACAATTTAAAGTGACACTAAACTCAGGAGCTAAATCTTAAAAATTAATTCATGTACCTAAAGTATTATTTAAAAAAAAATGTATCTTATTTGTGTATCACTCGGCTGTAGATCCTCAAATCATCTCTGAATTCATGCTGACACTGTCCTTCCTTCTGGAGGGGGGTTACCTTTGTTCCCCATGGTCCCTGTGTGTGTTGTAAAGTAGCCACCGCTCCAAGCTCACTCCCATGATGGACTACAATCTCAGTACAAATTAGTCGACTAAACATGAGATTGTAGTCCATCACAGGAGTGAGCTTGGAGCGGTGGCTACTTTACAACACACACAGGGACCATGGGGAATAAAAGTAGCCCCCCTCCAGAAGGAAGGACAGTGTCAGCACCAATTCAGAGGTGATTTGAGGATCTCCAGCCAAGTGAAACACTAATAAGGTCCAGTAGTGTTAATAGGTACTTGAATGCATTTTTAAGATTTAACTGCTGAGATTAGTGTCACTTTAAATATGATGGAGTCCTGCAGCGGGCCACTTCAATTTACACAGACACTACTCCCTTTTGGGTCATTAACGCCCTGCCAGTTGTAAAAATAACAAACCTCTAAGCAGCCCATCCCAGATTGCAAAGTAATGAGAAGGCTGCTCAAAGGCCATTCAAAAAAGGGCACGATTGTAATAGTGTACACTCATCTTTACAGGCCAGTGCAATGACTGACAGCTTGGCAACACAGACCAACTCCCACCCTGGGATTAAATGCCACCCCTGACAGCCCTGCTAAACACGTAACTTGAATTTTATATGCGTGACTCTTCAATCATATCTCCCTGATCTCCTGCCACACCCTCCCCTACTCTATGACACCCTCAGAAGAGTCACCTAGCATTTGCATCCAGCTTAACATCAATACACCCCCCCTAGCATGTCCCGATCTCTTCAAGGCCACAATAAGCATTTTACAGGTGCATAGATAAGTGAAGCTCGTAGAATCTCCTCCACACACACTCCAAAGACAAGGCGGGGGCATGATCTGGCATGCAGTCACACCACCAGCAGGGCATAAGGGAATAATAATACCAGCACGATAATCTTGTTGTGTTGCACGATACAGAAAATACTTCTTGAGTGTTGAGAAACGGACACATTCCGAAAAAAAACAACAAGATTGTGCAATGAATTACAGGTGCCTCACCTTGTCCATGGGTGGCTGTGCAATGCGGAGCACACCCAGCTCATGCCCCATGAATAGGTATTTGCTGTTATTTAAAATGGGCAAAACAAACTAATACAGCAAAGGTAATATGGAAATGTAAGGCTTTCCAAGGTGTCAGTGGTGCCTGTGACATTTGTACATAAAATGTATTCATTTGTATTTATTGATCTCAATCGTGTGCCCATAGCGCTTCTCTCGTGTGCCCATAGCGCTTCTCTCGTGTGCCCATAGCGCTTCTCTCGCGTGCCCATAGCGCTTCAATAAATAATGATTTCCAGATCTTTCTTCATAATTAGAATTAATTTCTCAGTACATTCTACATGTGATACAACCCGGCTACTGGTAGCATTTGCATGTCATGCCATGTTTGTCCAACGTCAAATAAAGACGGGACGATAAGGTGGACCTATGGTGGCTTATTCTTCTATACAACCAGGCTGCCAACACCCACCGACTTTATGTTATAACCTGGAAACGATTCTATGTGTCAGGTGGCCACATGGCTACATTGGCAGTATCAAGTATTAGCTACTTATACACAAAAGTTACAAAGTCATCAGAATCGCTTAAAGATTTTGCTACTGAACTCATGTAACAAGAAAACCCCAAACACTCGCCCTGCCCAGTATTGTATCGCAATACCACGCTGATGGCTTGTTTAGAATGGCCGCTTTGCTCTGGCTTCTTTTATATTAAGAAGCAATGCTGGAGTACAGAAGTGAGAAGCATTGGGGATGATGTCAGATGGGAGATTCTCCCGCTAGAGGCAGATCACCAGTGGCAGGATCCCTACTGCTCGTCTGTCCCTATGGAATCGCTCCCTCTGTAGACAGGTGTAGCGAGAGGTCTCTGATCACAAGTGCAAGCAATGGGAGCGACAAAACCCTGGCTCAGCTACAGAGGGAGCGATGTCATAGGGGCAAACAGGCACCTCTTAGAGATCCTGCCACTGGCAATTTTGACAAATCGCCAACGACATAGTTGCCTGTCTGATATCAGCCTTAAATATAACCTGTCTTGCAGCACTGGGGTCTTCAGTTTAAATCCCCATCTGACATCAGCCTGAAGTATAACCTGTCTTGCAGCACTGGGGTCTTCAGTTTGAATCCCCATCTGACATCAGCCTGAAGTATAACCTGTCTTGCAGCACTGGGGTCTTCAGTTTGAATCCCCATCTGACATCAGCCTTAAATATATCCTGTCTTGCAGCACTGGGGTCCTCGGTTTATACCTCACCAGGACCCTGTCTGCATGTTCTGCCCGTGCTTGCATGGCTTTCCTTCCACACCCCAAAGAAGAAAATGGCCCTGGTATGAGTACATGGGGACCGTAGATTGTAAGCTTTTGGGGGCAGGGTCTGATGTGAGCAAGCATTATGAGAATTAATAAATGTAGGGCAAATAAATGGGGTTTCCACCGGTGAGGAAGTGGTGAATTTCCAGGGACAGGCTTCATGGGTAGGGAGTGTCCCTGGAAATGTGAACAGCGATTCATTCTGCAGGAGTCAGGCTGCAAGCTGTCAGGAGGGGAGGACACTGCACAGGGAGGAAAGTTCAGGCAGATTGGTGGGACATGGACTCGTACTGGGGAGGGGGGGTCGTTGTATAGGAAAGGTGAATGTGGCAGCTATGGGTAGTAAGCTGTGATCCTGATATACACATAACTAGTGAAGCGGACAGAGAAGCTGATTCCCAGCAACTGCAGCCAAAGTCCACAGACTGAGATGTGCCCCCCAACAACCAATCAGGTTTCAGAATTCAAATGAAGCCAGGTGTGAGGTTGCCCTAGACAACGGCTCCAGTTCCCATTAACCAGCCCGCACAGTCCGGGTCCGTGTGACAGGGGGTGCTCACCTTGCGCTGCTGCTTCTCCCAGGCCGGGTCGAGTAGCAGGTCCCGGTCCCAGTCGTCCTCCTGCGCCATGTACTTCCCCTCCGGAGTCATAACGTAGCGCGTACCGCCGCTCATGTGATAGTCCACCATGGCGGCCCGGAGAGTTTAGCTATCGGGGGAGTTGCAGGCGGATAGTAACAGCAGGGGGTTCTGTCTCTCCCGTGTGGAAGCAGCGGGTTCCTCTCCTCTCCTGGGATCGGCGCCGAGTGCGCATGCGCGCTTCACGTCCTCCGCCACCACAGCGTCTACTCGCTCACCTCAACCGCGCCAGCCAATAGGGAGCCACTAGGCAGCCAGGGGCCCCACCCCAGCTAGGGAGCTGTCCAATAGGAGAGAGGAAGGCAGTTTGCCGCTCCTAAACTGCCTTTGCTCCATCGGTCTTGAGCGGCAATTCACAGAATCCGAGGGGCGGAGCGGGAGACGCCCTCTGATGTCACTGTCACACCCGTGTCATCCGCCCTGAGAGCAGGCTGTTCCCGCCCTTTACTCTTGGCTGCTAGGTGTACCGGTGCACTGCACCGCCGACTCCAGAAGACACCCCCCAAATACTTTTCCATTCCAATGGGACCCCAGAGCAGTATTTCTGTCACCCCAACAGAGACCCAAGCACAGTGCTTCCAACTCCCCACGAAACTCCAGAACAGTGCTCCCAAAACATTGCCACTTTCCCACCATAAGACACCAGAACATCGGTCAGATGTTCCCCACTATCCACCCTCCATTGCACCAAGTACCCAGAACAGCCAACAGGACAGCGCTCTTGTACCCCCTCTGAGACCCTAAAACAGAGCAGTCTGACACCCCAAAACAGAGCTCCCATCCCCCACACCGAGACCTCAAAACTGAATCTCTTTCCTCCAACCAAGGCCTCGGAACAGCACCCCCATACAGACGTCAGACGTCGCAACATCATCATATCCTCCTCACTTCAGAGCAGTGCTCTTATCTCCACCACCAAGACCCTAAAACAGAGCCTCCTATACCTCCACTAATACCTCCACAGAACAGCACCCCCCTTCCCAGAGACATCCCAAAACAGCATTCCTACCCTCCAACCACCACTGCTAATACCCCAAAACAGAGCCTACTATGCCCCCACTGAGATCCCAGAACAGCATCCGGTCCCCCCTTCCCAGAGTCATCCCAAAACAGCATTCCTACCCCCCAACCTTCACCGCTAAGACCCCAAAACAGAGCATCCTATACCCCCACTGAGATCCCCAAAACAGCATTCCTACCGAACCCCACCATCACCACCGCTAAGACCCCAAAACAGCCTTCTATACCCCCACTGAGATCCCAGAACAGCATTCCCCCACCACCAGCACTAAGACCCAAAAACAGAGCCTCCTATACCTCCACTGAGATCCCAGAACAGCATTCCTATCACCACCGCTAATGTCCCAAAACAGAGACCCTATGCCCCCACCATGAAACCCAGAGCAGTGCTTTTATCCCATTGAAACCTCAGAAATATGCCCCTGTTACCCCTACTGAGATCCCAAATCAGGATCCCTATCCCTCCATCACTTCCAAGAACCCATAACAGAGTTATATCTCCCCAATGAGATCTCAAAAAGGACTCCGTTCCCCCAACCCGAGACCTCCGACCAGTGCTCCTATCCCATCAAGACCTCCGACCAGTGCTCCTGTCCCATCAAGATCTCAGACCAGTGCTCCTGTCCCATCAAGACCTCAGACCAGTGCTCCTGTCCCATTCAGTGCTCCTATCCCATCAAGACCTCCGACCAGTGCTCCTGTCCCATCAAGATCTCAGACCAGTGCTCCTGTCCCATCAAGACCTCCGACCAGTGCTCCTGTCCCATCAAGACCTCCGACCAGTGCTCCTGTCCCATCAAGATCTCAGACCAGTGCTCCTGTCCCATCAAGATCTCAGAGCAGTGCTCCTGTCCCATCAAGATCTCAGACCAGTGCTCCTGTCCAATCAAGATCTCAGACCAGTGCTTCTATCCCATCAAGATCTCAGGCCAGTGCTTCTATCCCATCAAGATCTCAGGCCAGTGCTTCTATCCCATCAAGATCTCAGACCAGTGCTTCTATCCCATCAAGATCTCAGGCCAGTGCTTCTATCCCATCAAGATCTCAGACCAGTGCTTCTATCCCATCAAGATCTCAGGCCAGTGCTTCTATCCCATCAAAATCTAGATATAAATCATAAAGATCATCAAAAATAAATTGATTGGTGTGTTTGTCATGTGTTTCACTTGCTGGTGAAGCTTTACATCGCGCTTCCAATCACTAAGGTGTGAAAGGGACCTTATTCTACTTCACTGAGTGTACAGGATACTGCTGCACTGACACCAAGAACCTAAAATACTGAATACATTCTTATTCCTTTGTTACCTCAAAATACCATTCTTCATACTATTCCATTCCACGAAGACCCCAGAATATCACTCCTGTTACTATCCTCCTTCGCCGAGACCCCAGAGCACCATTCTTAATAACATTCCACTCCTCGAAGACCCCAGAATATCACTCGTGTTACTATCCTCCTTCGCCGAGACCCCAGAGCACCATTCTTAATAACATTCCATTCCACGAAGACCCCAGAATATCACTTCTGTTACTATCCTCCTTTGCCGAGACCCCAGAGCACCATTCTTAATAACATTCCACTCCTCGAAGACCCCAGAATATCACTCGTGTTACTATCCTCCTTCGCCGAGACCCCAGAGCACCATTCTTAATAACATTCCATTGCTCGAAGACCCCAGAATATCACTCCTGTTACTATCCACCTTCTCTGAGACTCCAGAATACCTTTCTTTAAGGAGAACTAATAAGATTTCTTTATGCTTCCCTGAGATCCAATAATATCACTACCATATTTTCCGCTTCACTATGATCCCACAATATCACTTCTGTTACTCTTCTACGCTACTGAGACTCCGGGATATTGCTCTATAACATCATGGGAAGCCCAGAGAGATGTCATATGACACTTTTCCTCCTGTATGGCTTTACCAGGGTTGCCAGTTGTGAACAGACTATAAAAGTTGTGACTAAGGGCTTGTTCACACAGGGCGTTGCCATACAGTTCCCTGCATTTTCAAATGCAACAATAGACAAAGAGAAGATATGTTGTTTTTAACAGAACCTCTTTATACCAAAGCGTTGTGTGGCCTGTATGCTGCATGTTGGTTTAACCTGCATTTTGCCATTTAGCTAAGTTGAATGTAACCCCTAAAGCCCAGTCCCCCTCAACTGGTCTCTAGTCCCCCTTTTGTGCTGGATACAGGGCTAAATGACATTGGGCATCATTCAGACTGGTAGAGAACTGGCACTAGATAGCAACTCACACATTTCTAGTGTAAACCCAACTCACTATGTGTTTGTTGGTTTACGTCAAGTAGATGACAGCACTTTGCATGGACGTCAATGCTAAGCCTGTTGAAGGGACCCTGCGCAGCCCCAAAAGCGCCTGTTTATATGACAAGGAACTTCAAATAAATGAAAATTTTGCTATCCTAAAATGATTTTGGTGTGCTGGTGACATTTCTACATATTCCTGATTTATGCGGCGCCACCCTCGGGGGCACCCGCTGTGGGAATTTCAGCCTGTGAATCAAGAATCATCCGAAATCCACACAGTGTAGGGCCAGCGCAACCATTTTACTCCAGAGGAATCTTTGAAATAATTTTCAGGTTTCGGGGAACCCCTACTAGAGCGAAGGCAGTCAGTGGGACAAATGTCCCTTGCGTTGGTGACCGGTGAAAAGAATGCCCCTTTCCAGTGGTGATCAGAATGCCACCCTTACAGACAGCTAGGAAGATCATTGGTATCCTGCAGCTTGCTCTGCCAAGTGGTGTTGACCCTGGGACTATGCAAGCACCATCAAATGAAAGGTCAATCAGCCACAACTCAAGGAACCCCTAACAACCTCTAGAGCCGTGGTTCTCAACTGGTGGGCCGTGACCCAAAGGTGGGTTGCGACTCCATGTTCAGTGGGTTGCAGCATGCCTTACATTGCACTAGGTGAGCGCAGCACTGTCAGTTCTTGTGCCTGGCGCCGAGTGTCAGCTTGCGGTGGGGTTGGCTTGGGTATGACTGCAAGGGAGCTCCATCCACAGGTACATGTCTTACAGCTCCCTCATGTGACCTGGGTGATATCACATTCTGGCTTCCACCATCTCTACAGGAAGTGCAAGGGAGCTGTACAAGCAATGAAAGTATGGATGGAGCTTCGTCACAGCACAACAGCCCACACTGAACCCCTACATTTTTTTTGGAGTGTGTATATGTGTGAGAATGTCTGTGTGTGAGATTGTGTCTGTTGTTGTGTGTGTCTGTCAGTGTTTTAATCGCAAACTACCACGCAATCACACCTACTGTTCATTTTGGTGTGGGAGGTGCATTGCGTTGCCATTATTTTGAATGGCACCCCAAACACACCTCCCACCCAGAATTTGATCGCTTCCACTGGAATATGCGGTACCGCAATGCCGTTCGTTCCAGTGTGGTGCGACTTGGGTCGCGACTTAATGACCAAGGTCAAATGTGGGTCCTGTGGTTATACACTGCTCTAGAGGAACCCTACAATGGCTGGGTTAGACCCTCTTTTTCCCCCCAATTCCTGTCATTTCACTAGGTCAGAAAGGGTAGATCTCTCAAACATGAACACAAACAGCAAAGATCAACTTTCCCTGCTTGATCCAAAAAGGGTCTATTGACCTTTCTCGGATCGAGACCTTTGCTTGAGGTCTATTTTAAAGGAATAACAATGTCATTGAGGATTGATGACACGCAGAAATGATATGATGTCCATACACTATAAACTGCATTTGGTAGATCTGATTACTCTCAGGTACCCCGGTTTGCCATGGGGCTTCCAAACTTAAACGTAAAAGTGCACCTGATCCTGAGCACAGGGATAGGTGACACTCCACACTGCAGACTCCTCCATCACCAGCTTATGAAGAGGCAATAAAATAGTAAATACACAAGGTTTTAGAACATGTCTGACTTTAATTTGAGTGACCTTAGTCGGATCTGTAGATAGCAGTCTATAGGGTATACCAGAGAGCCACTGAATCGTGTTGAACATTCCTGTTTTTTCCTGTGTCACAGTTTCACAATGCTCTGCAAAACATGATCCTTGGACTTACGGAGCCTCCAGACAAGGAATGTTTATTCATTCAGGTCTTTTATGACCAGTCTGGGGAATATTTGTAGTTATGTCTATAAGCATTACCCAACCAAGGTAGAAGTGTCCTGGCAATGCATTCAAGCATGCCAGACATACCAACAT